ACCATTTGTGAACATTCATGGGAGATCCACGTTGCTTGAGCAGTAAGTTATTTTCTTTTTGTATTTATGATATTATTGTTTTTCCACTAAATTCACTGTACACCCCCCGTTTTGTGTTCAACTTGTTTGTTTCATTTCTCCATTTTGCTAGAGATCCACTGAGGATGGAAAAAGTGTTTCCCGAAAGTTAACTATGGAAAATAGTTAATAAAATTATTAAAATTTTGGTGGAGATTATTTCCTTTACAATACCAGACATTCCTTGGTTTCTGTATTCGTTCATGACCATGTTTACTTTTATTATCATTAAATATATCTGAACATATTAATCCAGTGACAGTACTTATTCTTCCTGCATATTACAATGATATTAATCAGATTTCACAACCCTCTCCAGTTCCTCTGCCAATTTGATCGATGGATTTTCTTTTCTCCAACAATCGGCGATGTCATTCCAGACGTCGCCGGATCGGATTACAACATGTCTGCTCACGTCCTAAGCCTACACTGTTCTGTTGCGGGGATTTGTAATCCGCGCCGTTCACTAGTCTTTAAAATGTCCAGAAGCGTCTTGAACTCTATCTTTATTGGTTAAGCTTGCACTTTCCCTCCTTGACTAAAGTGCATGATTCTCCTGATTGTTTATCCTCCTATTTGCGTCCCCCTCCCTTTACTCATTGTTTTCCCTATTCTTATACTATTTTCATTCTAATTAAATTCACGGACATTTATCAGTAAATTCACGTTACTAATTTACTACTAAAATTCACAATATTTTCCTGTCTTGTTATCAGCCTTCCTTGCCATTAATTTCTCATTATTTTTATATTTATTATAAAATCTATTGTTGCCCGACGAAACATATTTCTATAAACAACTCTGTATAATGATGAGTTGTGATGGCATTTAGATAACCAATTACATATGAAATTGATAATTTTAGTTTATTTTGTAAATCACATCTACCGAGAATACAGTGTTGCTATTAAATATATCTTATATCCATCTCTTTCTGGTCTACTTGTTTACAGGACAATGTAGAGGCACCAGAACTCATGGAATTCGATGCTGTGCTAAAACGCGTGAGTCTGTGTGAAGGAGATCAAGACTATGAATTCAAGATGATCAACCCTAAGCTCGACCGTATTTCTTCAGAGACAGTCGCGCTCTCTTGTGAAATAGAATTAACTATGGATATTCCAGATGACCCAACGTACACGGTAGGTTGGCATTGCCAAATATAAACTGTGAAACTTTCTAATAAATAGATGAAATAACTGGGTCAGAGTGGACACTAGAAAGTAAATATCAGTGTTTTATTCGATTCATTTCTCCTCTGCCAGAATTTTGGTCGAGAATTCCCCGTTTGAAATCGGGAGTTATCGAAAACTGATTGTAAACTCTCGAATACTACAATTCCCGTTTTTTAACCCTAGACAGGTTGCGATTGGCAAAATATGGGGGGTTCACAAAGGTCAGATATGATCAGCTCTAGATCGGTCGAATAGAAAAGCTCCATAAAGATAAGATGAGAGGAGGAAAATCTAATCATTTCTTGACAGCCAAATTGATTTGGAGATGATGGCTACTGCAGTAAGAAATAGAATTCGAGAAAAAGCAAACGAGGAACAAATACTCTGATACAGATTGTTAACATATTTATGGATTCGCATTTTTTAATTTGTCTCCTTTGGGAGAATTTAATAAAGTCTCTTTTGAGATTTTCTTGTTAGAACAAGCTAGCTGAAGCGAACGACCGGTATTGGACGTCAAAAGTGTCTTGACTGTTGCTGTGCTGGCAGTTTAAGATGAGCACTCTCTTCCAGTCTCCCGCCAAGTGCAGAGTGCGGTTCTGTTACTCTACCTCAACGCCACGATTCATGGCGAATTCGTGTAAGATTATGGGTAGGACTTTATGTGACAACAAAAGGTGCCAAATTGAAAATTGAATTTTAGTTATATGTGATAAAAACTGTCTGGACTCGTGGCTGAAAATGACATACCAGTTCTTGGCGCCCTCCACCGGTAATGCTGGAATTCAATAGGGCCCACCCTTAGCCTTGATGATAGCTTCCACTCTCGCAGACATACTTTCAATCAGGTGCTGGAAGGTTACTTGGGGAATGACAGCCCAATCTTCACGGAGTGCTTCACTGACGAGAAGTATTTATTATTTATTTAATAGGTAATTATTACAAACAAATTAGCTTACTTGATCCTATGTGGCTAGGC